GTGGTGGCCGGGCGCGGGCGCATTTCTCTTTGAATATGTCTTTTAGAATTGTGCTTTTTCCCCCCACAATTCTACTTTTGGGTCCGTGCATCAGAATGTCGACTTGCTTCAGTAGTGTGCCTATGGAGAGCAAGCATCTAAAATAACTGCTTCTGTATTTTAAGGCTGGGCATTATGGGATCGTGATGTTCAGAAGCATAACATTTTCCTTAGAAGGTCTTCCTGAAAAGAGTAACTATACAGAGCATGTGGGCTTACTCCTCCTGCTCAGGCAAGAGGGTTTAAGGGCTTGCATTAACTGCTGAGTAAAAGAGTAGGGCTGTTGGGTCAGCTGTATAGCTGAGGATGCCACTTCTTGTCAGGTTTGCCATACAGATGTAACATAGCTTGATTTCATGTCCTCCTGCCTCAACTCACGCATTTGCTTTGCTTGGCTCTTCCAACAGATACCGCCTCAGTATGGTCAGCAAGGTGTAAGTGGCTACTGCCAGCAGGGCCAGCAGCCGTACTACAACCAGCAGCCGCAGCCTCAGCATCTGCCACCCCAGGCACAATATCTGTCGCAGGCCCAGCAGAGGTACCAGGCTCAGCAGGTAAGCACCGTCCTCTGCTACTGACAATCGCCCTGGAGCTAGAAGTGTAAAAATGATCTGTCTGAAACGAACAAAACCCACCCGGCCCCTTTTCGAGAGAACAGTGTTAAAAACAAAATTAAATGAACACAGGATCAGACAACATCATTCTGAAAAGTCTTTGGGGATATACACACAAATACATCTGCACACACTTTCAGGCTTTATTTTATATCAGCTTTTTTGAATAAAGCCAGTATATATACCCCAGCAACTGTTAATTCTGCTTTTAAAAAGAAGTAACAGCTTCTTGATCAGATGTCATTGGAGGCTGGAGGTTTTCCTTGCTTTTGTTTTGGTTTGTTTTGCCCTCACAAGACAAAAGTTGTTTAGAGCTTCTGCATCTAACATGGTCGCTACTGTTTTGTTTTTCATGTTGTTTCATGTGAGGGTAGATGAGTTCAAGACATTTTTGAGCTACTTTGTCAAGGGAGCTTCCTAGGAGATATTTTTAATCGATTGTTAATAAATTGTTAATTTGAATGTTGTCAGTTCACACATCCAGTTAGTGAAACCACATAATTCAATATCCATTGCAGTTCTTTAATTGTGCTTTATATATTAGCCATTAAAATTCATTTAAAGTGATTCTGGTTTTAACTAAGATCAGAAGTGATTCGTGTATGGGTCTGCTTCCCAGGGCTTGAGGAGACACCCAGATTTTAGATACTGAACAAAATGGATGTCCACAGCTGATGTGGCTGTATGTGTAGGCTCAGTTCTGTCTGCAGTCTCAGTTCTGTTAATCACAGAGAGGTGATCTGGAAACGGAAGGATGAAACTAAACCATACTCACCATCCTGGGAAATCTAACAAAAGTGAGTTGCTCAAGACTGGGTATTAGTGGAAGCATCAGCACTTGCTGCAAATCACTGGGGGATTCTGTCAGGCACGGTTGATTAACATTTTGGGATAATGCTGGTGCAATGTAGAAATCTTAGCTTGAAATAAAAATAGTGTGTAAAATAAACTAACAAAAGATGCCGTAAGTAGCAATGATACAGGAGGCTCCCCTCCTTTGATTTTAAAATAAAGCTATGATAATTCCACCGTGTAATTACATGTTAATTTTTCTTCATCTACATTTTAAAATTCCATTGAGAATTAACTTTTTTCATTAAAATGCTGGCTGGTTTATGAAATAGAATTCTTAATTGTATCTGTGATGTTCTTGTAAATGTCACCACTTTCCATCTTTTGGATTATATGTATCTGTGACTTTAAAGATTGCAGTTGTGTCTTTAAATTTAATTTTCTCCCTTTCTCCTTTGGCATTAAATGCTTAATTTCTCTATGACTTGAAAATACTGTTCATAAGCATCTTGGTAAAGTCTTAGTAGATAAAGTCCTAGTAATACAGCCTATGAGACAGAAGAAACACAGCTGCTCCAATGTCTACATATCACAGTTTGTGAAATTGAAATGTTTTTTTTTTTTCCTGCCTTGGACACCTCATCATATTTTAAATATTATCAGTTGAACGGATTGAGTATTTTAGTTTAAAAAATATTCAAAACACACTAACTGTACGGGATTTATGAAACAACAAGATACTGATTTATCTGTTGATAACGTGTTCCAATTACATCATTTGCTATCATAGCCAGTAAAGTGAAGGTTTGTGCAATGAAGTGAAGGGGTATCATAGAAGAGAATAAAGGCAAAATGAGAGTCAAGCCTTCTATGTTATGGACTTCAGAGAACTGAGATGAAGAGAAAGGCAGGGACAGATTCACAAGTAGAAGATACCAGCCTTGATGTAGCCACATTTCTTCTTTGAGGATTTGAGGGTACATTGAAGGAGTGTCTAAATCCAAGGGTGATACAGGCATCTCAAGGTCAATAGGCATTTTTTCCTGAATCTGCAAATTCAGACGATACGTTAGGTCCTCACCAACACAGCCCTGCGGTTGGTAATCCTTAGTGTGAGAATCGCACCTGAAATTCTTTGTGGTTTGTGAATGGTTGTTTGGTTATCCTGTTCTTTAATAGTGGTCAGCCTCTTAAGTTTTTAACTCTGATCCCAGGTTCTGAATTACACAGGCTTTTCCTGGAGTATTTGTGTCTAGATGGGACTATTTCATCTAAATAATTAGTCCTTAACACCGCAGGGCTTGCTCCTTTTCCACGCCTCCAGATTGGTTCCATGGCTGCTCTTCCCCCTGTCTCAAGAAGGGTTATTGGGTGAACACCTCCTCCCTAATGTTTCTCTGTAAAACCTCACCACTGTGTTCTTTCCCATTCTTTGGCAACTGCTAATCTAGAAAACAAATTCCTAACACAGGAAGCTGAAGTCTATACTTTTGACACAACAGTGTTCTTTTTCTGCTGATGATGCATAGTAGAGTTACTGTCGAGTGGTAACCAGTGTACAATGTGAAAATTAATACTAGGATAACAAAAAAGTTGGGAACTTATGTCAAATTCTGCTGCTGAGACAAAAATTTTTAAAAACGTGCATATTTGAGCATACATGTCTCTGCTTATATGAGACTGATGATCTCTTTAAAATAATTTTAAAATTAGATTTTACTTGATTAAAATTTTAGCAAGAGAAAAAGGAGTTAGGTATTCGTATAGTTTTAGGAGGTTTAAGGGCGGGGTTCACTGAATTTGATATACTGGGCAGCCTTATGAAGAGAAAGCCCAAGGGAAATCTTACTGCTGTTTACAGCTACCAAATGGGAAGATGTGGGAGAGAACGGAGCCTCTTGTTGGCCTCAAGTAGAGAAGCTGGCCCCTGAAGATGTTTTTGCCTCATGCTGGCTAGCTGGAATCATGTGAAAACTTTAGACTACAACTGTTTTTCCTGGAGGGCATTGTTGGGTCATGAAAGAAGATCTTGTTTTGGAGGTTATCAAGCTGAAAGTAGTGTTTGTTCTGGATGGATGATGGACTTTTTCTTGCCACTGGTTTCCTTTTATGTAAAACCCCGTAGTGTGATATACTGGGTATTCTGTTATGGAGAGAAACCTGATATGAAATTTCATACGGATAATGTTTTACTTTTGCAATTTTAGACATAATGTGTGTGAGCTTCTGCAGTCAGGTGTAACTCTGAGTGTTCTGCCTTGGAATTGGTACTCGTCTTCATTTCTCACATATTGTGGAAGTGTGAAGCCATTGCTCCTTTTTCTTGACTCACTTGAATTCAATATGCAATCTTGTCACTAAAAGTAAACAGATAAAATAATTTCTGGGACTGTTCCAGTGACTTGTGACTTTCCATTCTTCTAATAAGTGTAGAGGGGAAGGAGGAGAGTGGGATTTATTTGAATGTTTGAACTGTAAGTTGTTTAGATCTTTGTTAAATTGATTGCATGGTGGGCAGAAAGGGAGTTTTGTAAGAGGTGATTTGGTAGTAATACTGGCATAGTTTACTATAGAGCCATATTGTAAGCGAGCATCAGTCATCCCCTCTTCGTATCAGGAGCCTGCTGTGTAAAAACCATTAAAGGAAGAGCTTTGTTTTAAGCAAATTTATTACAGTAGCAGATTCATTGATCATTAGATATTGCCAGTAGATGTAGATAGCGTCTTGTTTGTTTGTTTGTTTTTTTTAAACTTCTTTTACCTTTACTGCTCTTTAAAAGAAAAGAGAAAGATGTGCTGCACTACTACAGTGTTGCCCTTGGCAGGGTTTTTCATCTTGAAATGGCATATAAATGAATAAATGCTTCAGTTGTTTTTGCAGTTTTAAATCTTTTGCCGTAAGTAGAAGTGATATTTTGCTCAAGAATGTCATGTAATTGCAAACTTAAACTGTCATCATTAAACATTATTTTGTTAAGATAGTGTGATGTATATTTTGTGTTACTATGCTTTCCAACTGGCTTTTAAACAGCCATGTTTATATATTTTCTTGTTTTATGTAGCATGTGTTCATATGTATCAAGAGAGGATCGTGCCTTTGAGGTTTAATGTATTACTTTATGAGATGGGACCATGTCACTTTTTGACAGATGAAATCTGCAAAATAACTGTGGTCTTACTGTTAGTTAAACAAAAATAGTTACTTTATTGTACACCTGCTACTGTTATCCTGAAGTCATCTTTTAAGTATTCCTGGAAGCTTTCTGCTTGCAAGTTTCCAGAATAGAGTGGGATTATGCTGATCCCTTTTCTTACATGCAGGTGTGAGATTAAAAAGGGGAAAAAAAGTGTGGCAGGTCCTTGAGGTGGGGCACGCACGTGTGCTTTTCTGGGGCATTGGTCCTTCTGGTTAACGGTGTACATGAAGAGAGGGCTCTGTGTGTGTGTTTTTACACCGTTCCTGTGTGGTTACCGTCATTTCTTTTCAATGCCTTAAAGGAACAGTGAAGTAGTTCAGGCTCATTCTTTAGTCTCTTTTTATTTAAAAGGAGAAAGTGTTTTATAAACAAGCAAGCAAACAAGACTCCCTCACAGTCAGGTTTTATTAAAATGTTCTAAAAGCTGGACAAAACCTTGGTTTTGCCCCCAGTATAATACCTCACCTACTGATAAGACCTACTTATCATCATGAGATTTTTTTTTTTCAATCCAAATTGTCATAGGACAGATAAAGAGTAGAATAACTAGTCAGGGTTTTTTTTTTTTTGCTGCGAGTGGGCCAGGGGGATGAATGCAGTTCAGGCCAGTTAAGAATTTGTCAGCCATTTCAGTGGTCCCAGGTAGAAAGGCATCCAAAGCAGAAAGGCAGCGTGCATGATGAGGTGGGGGGCGTCTCTGGTGGTGTCTTGGTTGGTCTTTCCAGGTGGAGGGCTGGAGACCACTTATGCTCCTGCAAGGGGCTGCGGCTTCTCTCCGGTTCCCCAAACTGGGGTCAGTGGAGGCCATAAATTTCGGGTTTGTTCCTGAACTGGTGACAGTGGTTTGAACTAGTCTCAGTCGCAAGTCTGAGACGATGATGAGCATGTTCCTGTGCAGACATCTGTTTCTAGCATTGAGTCAGTGCAAGGTAGGACAGATAAAACACTACC